CTGTTGAGCGGGCTTGTATCAGAAGGGCCCTGAGGTGAAATTTCATCTCTGACAGTTATAGTTGGTGTCCAGTGTCTCTCTGTAAACACTGACCTCAGATCTAGTAGATAGAAGCTTCCCAACTTACTTCCATAAAATGACCCAGCTGGGTCTAAAGGTAGACTATGATATCACCAGCTATCTGTGGTCATTCCCTAATTAATACCAGGCCAGTGAGTACCTGGCTCTTTTGTTCTAAATTAGGACTACATGTCATTGTCATCCCTCTGCTGTGGGGAACCAGCCAGGGGATGCGAGGATGCCAGCACTTGGGATCATCGAGGCCTTTGGTAGAGGTGGAAGTAAGAGATAGTATATGAGCTTTGCATGCAGGTATTTGGAAGAGAAAGGACCAAATGTGCAGAAGCAGCAGCAGGCCCCTGGGAGTCTCAAGGTTCACTGGGCCTGCCCAGGGTTTGTAAAAGCAGCCAGTGGTCTCAGGAGCTCCTGGGAACAGGTTACAAGTGTGGCTGGGAGTCTTTCCCTTCACAGCCCGCGGCAGCTGGGTCAGCCCTTTCCTGCTAATGGAAAACTCCATTTCATGCTTTCCCAAATCTCCCTTTCATAAGAATCTCTCCAGGCACTTATTAAACATGCAGATTCCCATACCACACCCCGGGAGTACTGAAGCAGTGTGTTAATAAGTGCCTCAGTGATTCATATAGCAAGGCAATGTGAGGGAAACTGCTCCAGTTGTTTAAGGCCTCTTGCTCAGTAGGAACGGGCTCTGCTCCTTCTAGTGCTTTTGTTTCCTGCTAGTTAATTTTGTAGCCTGACTTGGGGCACCACAAGAGTCTTCTGTCATTTCAGAACAGGTAACAAGGGCCTCATCCTTGTCTTTTTTAGGGAGTGTGGGCACTCACCCCTCTACCGAAAGCCAGATCTTAGCCTGTGGGCCCTACTAGAATAAGTTTCTCTGCATTTTTTTCCCCTTTTCTCCAGATGAGCCTTTTCCTCTTGTTTGTTTTAGCTTTTTGTCTTAGGGTGCATGAATTCACTGGAGAGGGGAGAGAGAGAGAGAGAGAGGTACAGAAAGAGGAAGTGAGAAATTACCCCTTCCCCCCCACCCTAGGGAGACCTGCCATTCCACAATCCCTTCTCTATTCTCCTCGCAGGATTTTGAGCACACACACACATATGTTCCTGGCATGATTTTCAAGCCACCAGGTCTAAGACTCAAACTGGGGTCAGCCATGTTGGAGTCCAGCACCTTAACCATCATGCCACTTGCTGATCCCCATCTCCTCTTGTTTGTTTATTTGATTAAAATTTTTTTTCATTAAAGTAATGTTCCCAGAGGGCATGTGCACATGCCAGGGAGAAAGAAACAAAGAAAGGGAGAGGGAAAAAGCACCTCCCCACAACCCCCCATGGGGCATGGGCATGATTACACCACAATCTCATCTCCTCCATCTCTCCATCCTGTCAGGATTTGGGGCACGTAAGCACACATGCCTGGCCTATCTTAAGCCACCAGTCCTGGGACTCAAAACCACATGATCAGCCATGTAGGATCTGGCTACCTTGACCACTAGTCCTCAGGCTAGCCCCTCTCCTCTTGTTTTAATATGAAGTAATTTTAGAAGAGGTCATTTGATAGAATAACATTGGTGCCAGTTTAATGCCTTTTATATTAAACCTCTTATCTGCTCTGATTAGCCAAGAGTACGTATGGGGCACATATCATGTACAGAAGTAGGAATAAAAAGTAAACTAGGCATGTCTCCTACTTTCTAGACAGTTTTTAAAAACTTGCTTGCGTTTGGGATAATGAAAAAGTATTGAATGTGGATAATGATGAGTGTTGTATAATAATACTGTCAATAGACTTAATACCACTTAACTCTGCACTTGAAAATGTTAGGGCTGGCCATGGCCTAGTGGTTAAAGCAGCTGGATCCCACATGGCTCTCCTCGTGATTTGAGTCCTAGATCCAGTGGCTTGAGAAATATGCCAGGCATATGTGTGTGTGTCCAAACTCCCAACATGGAGAAGGGGTTTGAGCATGACCATTCTCCACTGGGGAGGTACTTTCTCTTTCTTTTCCCTCTGGCAAGTACACATGCCTTCTAGCCAAAAAAAAAAAAAAAAAAAAAAAAAAAAATTGTGGAGACCCAAAATGGTAAATTTTGGGCCAGCAGGTGGTATGGTGGTTGAAGCACTGGTTTCCACATGGCCAACTCCACAGTTCAAGTCCCGGACCCAGAAGCTTGAAAAACACACCAGGCCCACATGTATACATACCCAAAATCCGAAGAGGAGAATAAAAGAGAAAGGACTGTGGTGTAGCTATACTTCTTGGGAGTGATTTCTCACTTCCTGTCTCTGTTTCTCTCTAGTGAATACATGTACCCTAAGGCAAAAACCTAAAAAAAAAAAGGTAAATTTAATATAATTTGTATTTTACTACAGTTAGGGGGGGAGATGACTCATTCAGGAGACAGTATACTTAAAAAACAACTGAGGAAGACATTTTCAAAGTGGTAAACCAACAAATGGAATGAAACATGAATTTAAGTAAATCAAATATCCAGATAGCCTTTATGATGGTTTCAAAAGAAATAAAGAATATGTACATTGGAGAATTATGTGAATAGAAGAGATGACATTTGTAAAAAAGAACAGTAAGTTATTTGTAATAGCAAATTTCTAAAAGGAAAGGTCTGTTAAAGAGGCAGCCCTCACACTGAAGGCCAGTCTGGGCGCAGGAAATATCTGGTGACTAGATGAGGGGGTGAGGAATTGCAAAGAGGGTGATGAAAGGGAAAGTCTCCTTGGGTGGGTGGTGACTGAGGGATCAGTTTATTGCTCTGTGTGAGTAGAGTGGTATTGTCTCAGTTGAAAGTGATTTTCTGCAAAGTATTCTTGTGCTGTAAGTGTGAAGTGACAGAAGGGAAACTCCTGGAGACTACTGAGCCTCAGCTGTTGGAGAGATGGTCAGAAATGGCCATCTCATTGGTGTACTCATTTCCAGGCCGACAGCCAGATCATGCATCTCTGCCCTGCAAAGGAGCTGGGAAAGGGCTGGAGGTGGACCAAGGAACAGAAGCCAGGCTGCTGGGAGCCTGCACAGTCAAGGGCTTTGTGGAACAGAGCCCAAAGCCCACTGGGCAGCTGCTGTGAAATAGATGCTTCCAAGAAAGGTGTTACTTACCACGAAGACCTCAGATTTGCAGGGGGCATCCACTTAGAACAACTGGTAAGGCTGAGCATTATTGGAGGCAAAGCTTCAGGGGACCAGAACCACCAAGGCCTCCCAGATGGGCCTGGGAAGAGAGTAGGAGTGGGGCTGGGTGCCTGATGAGTTAACCATGCCAGCCAAGCCATCTGTGGCTAGTCTGGCACGTAGTAGGCGTTCAGTAAATATTTGCTACATTGAAATGAATTAAAAACCCATTTGCTTTGATTTTGTATTATTTGCCTTTTGTTTGTTTGTTTTTGTTTGCTCTTTGTTTACTGGCAAAGAGTTACTTTTTAAAAAAAGTTTATGTTTGATTAATTTAAATGAAGTAAATTGCTCCCCAGCTAGAACAAGATGGCCCTCTGGACATTAACGGCCACTCATTCACCCTCATAAGCTCTCTTTCCTGCTCTGGTGATTCCACCTATGTCTTCCTTAGTCTTACCTCGGTTTATTTGACCTGCTCTACCTGGGCTCAGAGACTGACTTGCTGATGGTGCCCAAGTCTCCCTTCCAAGCTGTGTACATAGAACGTCTAAGTACCTATTGGACATCTCTTATTTGTTCCTCAGATTCCTGCAGCTCGTCATATGCCAAGTTGCACTTACCTCATCTCTCTGATTTGCTCTCATCTGCCTCCTGGATTCCTTATGTCCTTGAGAGGTATGACCCTCTGCCCAGTGCCTCCAGTTGGAAACTTCAGCACTTCACATGACTCCATCATCTTCTTCACTCATCCCTAGACCTGTTGAGTCTACGTCAGACCTGGCAGTGGAATCTAGCCTCACCTACCTGAACCTGACCCATCCCAACTATCCAGATATACAAACACATGCCAATCTGTTCTGCTGCTAATGCATAGAACTCCAGTCTCTTTCAGGAAAACTAGCAAGCTTTAGACTTCATTCTTCCTACCTGTGCTCATAGGACGTACTGCACCTCCTTCACCTTACAAATCCCTTGGATTTCTTAGTTCTTTAGAGTCCTAACTCTCATGAAAGCCCACCCAATGAGCTAGGGTATGTTCCTTTATGTTTCTACTAGTTCCCAAGCTCCTGGAGCTCTGGTCTCACATCTACATCTTTTTGGACACAAGGAGGCTAGTAGCAATGACTCTAACCTTGGCTATTCACTGGAATGCCTGGGGAGTTCAGAGGTTTTTGAATGCTTAGGCACCACCCAGACCAATTAAATCATTCTTTCTGAAGGTGGGGCCCTGGCTTGGTATTTTGTCAAGGCACTGTAGGTGATTTTACTGTTAAGCCAAGGTTAAGAATGACTGATTTAAAACATATCTTCACTCTCTAAGTCTTGGATCCTCAGAATTGTACCCATTCTTCATCTCTCCAGACTGGCCCTTTTGAGTTCTTCTCAGGAATATCTTAACTTAGGGTGACTCTACTATGTCCAAGACTATCTTTCATTCAAAAATAAATCCACCAACTCTGTACCTGGTGCTAGGAAACTAAAATAGCTATGTGCCTACAGTGGGCATCTGTTATTTTTCACTCACTCACTTGTGTCCATTCACCTTGGTTTTCCTATGGGCATCTGCTCCATTCCTACTCTCAGTCCCTGGCTTTCTATGAGAAGTGACCTCCAGATCACCCCATAGCTACCCATGACCCACACTAAGCTAATCAGGATATTCTGTTACCCCAGGCACAGTGATGGGCTCATGAATAAGCCTATGCCCCATGACAGTCCAGACAGAAACAAAAAGACTCAATTCTGAGATTTGAGTTTGACCTGTTTGGGAATTTGCTCATTTCTTGCTAGATCTGAATGAGACACTGGAGCCCAGAAGAGAGCTTGGCTGAGGATGAAGCCCAAACAGAGCAAGAAAAATGCAGAGAGGGACTCTGCCTTCAAAGACCAATGTCCGAGGGAGGAGACTTGCCAGTGGACATATCCAGAAGGAGGAGAGGTAAAAGTCATCATGGTAGCACAGGACCTCCGGCGGCTCAGTCTGGATGCCCTGGGCCACTTGGGGCTGGCTGGGATTCCGGTATGTCACTTCCACTTTTGCCTCTTGGAGTTGAATTCTGCACAAAGGCAGCTAATGAGGTCCAGCCTCTCATCAAGATTGTTGGATGATTGTTTAAAGGCTAGTCCCTCCCCCAGCAGCTGTAGCTTCCCAGGCCCCTGAGGTGCAGGTGCTCCTGGCTCTTTCTTACTCATACTCTCACCCTTCCTGGGCACTGATCACACCTCCTCTTCCCTGGTCTTGCTGCAACCTGGCGCTTAGATCCTCCTAACAATCTTCTTCTACCAGTCTCTCCCTTCCAGACCATCCTCCCTTCTTTTGCCAGAGGATTCAAGGTGAACATCCCATCATGCCATCACCTGGCTTCAGAACCTCCACTTCCTCCCTGTGATCCTCCAAATCAAATCCAAACTCCTTGACATGACCCACGGTCTTTCACAATGTAGTCCCAACTTGTCTCTCATGCCTGACTACTTTCCACCACCACATGGACATTCTCTAGATGAATCTTGTCCTCTAACCCCCCCTGCCCTCCCCATATATGCCTCAGCACATGCCGGGCTGTTTGCTGGAAATGGCCTTCCCTTTAAGAGACCCTTAAGACCCAGCTTGCATGTCTTCTTTCTGAAGCCTTCCATAGGCAAGATCAGTATCTCATAGTACTTTATTCATACCGCAGTTATATTAATATTACTTATTAAGTTGTTTGAGAACAGACTAGCTCAGAAGAGGTACTCAGTTAAGAGTAAGTAAATGGGTGAATGCTATCCGAATCCCTGGAGGTATCTAGGAAAGGTAGATTTAGGAAAGCCCAGGATGGGAAAGTAGAGGGCAGGGACAGTTGGAACTACTTACAGTTCATCTTTCTAAGGCAGGTCCTTGACTAGATTGGAAAGAGAAGACTGGGGCTAGTGGCCCCATTATTGATCTGGTGTCATGTTAAAGATATAGCTGATATTTTTTCTGACCCTCAAGTACCTTGCAGAGGGATTCTAAAGCTGTAGAGGGCTCTGGACAAAGCAAAGTATTATTTGGCAGGAAGTTAATGAGCTGTTTTCATGGTGGGACAGTTTCAGAATGTTTGAACAGACTGCTACAATTTTGAGTTGATAATAGAATACCGTTATGATGATATTAATTTAATCACAATAAAAGGTTGAAAATTTTGCCCTATAATTTTAATAAAATTTCCACCAATACGGCCAGTAATAATACCTACAATATCTTAAGAATGTACTATATACATCAGAGACTGAGTTAAGTGCTTTACAGGTATCACATTCATTCTAACAGTCCAGTTATGTAGCCCCATTTTACAGATGAGAGAACGAGGCTCAGAGGAGTTTAAAACTTGGGACCAGCAGATGTTGTAGCGATTATGTTGCTGGATTCCCACATGGCTGACTATGGTTCAAGTCCCAGAACCAGTGGCTTCAAACTCATGCCAGTTCCATGTGCGTGTGTGCCCAAGATATAGGAGGAGAATGGAGAAGGGATTGTGGCATGGCCACCCACTGGAGAGATGACTTCTTGCTTTCTATCTCTCTGTCTTTCTCTGTTTCTTTGGCGAGTGCGTGGTCCCTAGAGCAAAAATCTCTCTTGGAGAAAAAAGAAAAAAAAGAAAAACTTGGGACCAGCAGTTGGTGTAATGGCTATGTCGCTGGACTCCCATATAGTCGACTGCGGTTTGAGTCCCGGACCCAGTGGCTTAAAACTCATGCCGGGCCTGTGTGCGTGTATGCCCAAGATCCTGAGAGAAAAATAGGGATTGTGTGGCCATCCCCATGGGGGGTGATTTCTTGCTTTCTATCTCTTTTTCTCTGTCTTTCTGGCGAGCACACACGCCCTATAGCAAAAACCTCTCCAAAAAAAAAGAAAATATCTTGCCCAAGGTCACAGTGACACTCAGTAGCAGAACCAGGACTTAGTGCAGGTCTGTATGTCTCTAGTACTCATGCTCTTACCCTGTTTTCTTCTGACATCCTAATAAATTAAACTTTATATTCTATACTTTAAGGTTTGTCCATATGTACTAATAGTTTTTATGTAAATTGACTCACAGCATGGCTATCATTTAGATGATTTTATCAGCCCAACTTTACACCCTAATGCATATCCAATCCATTACCAAGAACTGTTGCGTCTACCTCTAAAATACCTCTAATTCATAATCTACTTGTCTTATCTCTACCCTTATCTTTTATTTAGAGCCTCTTATTTTTTAGATTTTTCTCAAAGGGCTTGTGTGCTCATTGGAGAGAGAGAGAGTGAGCGAGCGAGAAATCACTCTCTGGGGAGGTTGGTCATGCACAGTCCCTCCTTGCCCATTCTCCTCTCGAGATTTTGGGCATGCACGCACACATGCCCAGTGTGTTTTTCAAGCCACTTGGTCTAGGACTTGAATTGTGTAGTTGCCCAAGTAGGATCCAGCACCTTAACTACCACATCACCTGCTGGCCCTATCCAGAGTCTCTTAATTGGTCTTCTGCTTTTACTCTCATCTTCTTCTTATCCCTTCTCCCCCCTGGAGCCATAGCAATCTTTTAATAATGTAATCCAGATCATGGCATTCCCCAGCCCATCAGTGGATTCTCGTTGCATTTGGATAAATTCTAAATCCTTAACCCAGACTCAGGGTCTGGCATACCTCTCCTGCCTCATCTCATGCTTTGCTGAAGTCACTAAATTCTAACCACATTAGCCTTCCAGTTCTTCAAAACTGGCCAGTTTACCACCACAGGGCCTTTGCAGCTTCCAAGTAAAGCCTCTTTGTCTTCTCGAATGTCTCTTCAAAGATACCTTCGTGGCCCAGCCTGGTGGCACAGTCAGTGGTGGGCTGAGCTGCAGTGCTGGGAGCTAGATGGCCAGCTGAGAGTTTCATTCCCCTGGTTGTCTTGAAGACATGCTGAGAGCATGTGTGCCTAAGATCCTGAGGAGCTAGGGGCCAGGGAAAAGAGATGTGGTGCGATGGGACCCTGCCAGAGGGTCTAAAAAATAAGAGGCATGTGTTCTTGCTATCTATCATGAGTAAAATAAACTTAAAAAAATGATTTCCCTAAACACCTTTCTCAACCAAAATTAGATGTCTGTTCACTCAGATCACAGTTTATAATTATATATTTGAGTGATTATTTGATTTATATCTTTCACACCATCTTATAGTGCCATGACAGGAGTGTCTGTTTTGCTGAGTACTTTATTCCTATTAATCATCTAGTATTGGCACAGTGCCAAATACATAGTGGGTGATCAATATACAGGATCTTCAGAAAGTTCTCGAAAAATGTGTATTGTAGAAAAACTGTAGTGCATGTGGGTTTCTATTATTTTTCACCAAAATAAACTCATTCTTTAATTCCATTTTTCCATGAACATTTTGAAGTCCCTTTGTATTTGTAAAATAAATATTTTTCTATGTTACTCTATAGTCTTGAAAAATATAGTGTAATACCTACATAACATTTTATTTCTTTTTCTTTTTTTTGGAGAGGTTTTAGCTATAGGGCGCATGCACTCGCCAGACAGAGACAGAGAGACAGAAAGTGAGAAATCACCCCCCAGGGGGGATGGCCACGCCGCAATCCCTTCTCCTCCATTCTCCACTCAGGATCTTGGGCACTGTGTGCACACGCGCCCGGTATGAGTTTAAGCCACCGGGTCTGGGACTCGAACCGCGGTCGACTATGTGGGAGTCCAGCGACATAGCCATTACGCTAACTGCTGGTCCCAACATTTGATATTTATCTGTTTAATTACTTTTCTAAAAAATGTATTGCCAGAGGGCATGTGCACTTGCAGAGGGAGGGAGGAGAAAGCACTCTGCAATGGGACACGGTCATGTCCCCATTTTTTCTCTTTCATTTTTTCATCCTGTTGGGATTTTGGGCACACACGCATATGTGCCAGTGTATTTTTCAAGCCTCTGGAGCTGAGATTCACACCACAGTTGGTCATGTGGGATCTGGCTCCCTTAACTACTGGGCTATAGACTGACCCTATTTACATTAACATTTTAAAAATAAGACTTTTTTTTATGCGCAGTTGAGAGAACTGACCTTTTGTCTTCAGAAGAAAACCAAAAGTGTTTGAAGTCCCTAGATCTGTAACGCCAGAAATCTGAACACACTAATAATGACATTATACATATACACAGTGAGCCTAATTTTGGTGGTAAAAGAAAAAATACAGGGCTAGCAGATGTCATGGTGTTAAGGTACTGGACTCCACATGGCTGACTATGGTTGAAGTTCCAGTCCTGGTGGCGTAAAAATCATGCAGCGCATGTTTATGTGTGCTCAAAATCCCAAGAGGAGAATGGAGGAGAAGGGATTGTGGCATGCCTGTCCCTCTTGGGATCATCCTGGGGAGTGATTTCTCACTTTCCCTCTCTCTGTCTGTCTCCTGCAAACACAATGCCCTATCCCCCTCCCCCCCCAAAAAAAAAGAAAGAAAAAACTTAATAAAAGATTATAGGTTTTTAAACAAATAAAGGCTGTGAGCAGTAGTATTTTTAAAAACAGAAAAGAAAGTGAAATGAATGCATGGCAGATAAGTGGATTAAAATTGTTCTGTATACCTTTTGTGCTATTTTATATAGATACAACTTGTGCCTGGCATGTTTTATAGGGCCTTGTCCTTACACTTTCGACAATTTTAGGTAAAAGTGTCAAGGATAATACAGAGAGTTCTCTTATACCCATCATTTAGTTTCCCTTGTTGTTAACATCTTACATTACCATGAGGAACCAGCAGAAGATATAATGGTTATGTCGCTGGACTCCCATGTAGTGGACCATGGTTCGAGTTCTGGAGCGGCAGCTTAAAACTCAGGCCTGGAACATGTGCGTGCATGCCCAAAATCTCAAGAGGAGAAGAGATTGAAGCATGGCCATCCCCTCTGGGGGTTGATTTCTTTCTTTCTCTCTCTCTTTCTTATTCTC